CGAAGTCGCCTGAAAACACTAAGACGTCGTCTAGGTAGACGAGACAGCTCAGTCATTTCAGTCCTGCCAGTATAGTGTCCATCACACACTGAAACGTTGCTGCTGCCGTACGTAGTCCAAAGGATATCACGTTGAACTCTTACAGTCCATCCGGCGTGACGTAGTTTGTCTTTTCTCAAGTCTTTTCGTCGAATCCTATCCGCCTGTAGCCGCTCTTCAGGTCCATCAATGAAAAATATCGAGAGTGGCGCAGCCGGTCTAGCCTGCCGTCAGTGCGGGTGAGTTGATCTACGTCTTTCTTCGTCATAGCGTTCAGTTGACGGTACTCCCACGCAGAACCTAAGCGTTGCGTCCTTCTTTTTTACGACTGGAGAGGCCCACGGACTGCTTCAAGGATAAATTTGGTCGTCGTTCAGGATTTTTTGAACCTGCTCCTCGATGACCTGTCTTCCTTTTACGGATATTCTGTACGGCGATCAATGGACAGGGAGCCAGTCGCCCTCGGTATTGATGCGGTGCTTCGCAACGGTGGTTTAACGCACCTTCGACAATGTCGCGAAGCGGTCGCTGTATTCCGAGAGTAGGCTAATGAGGTGCCGTAGTTTCGGGCTGGAAGCTTGGGGTTAGTGTCAATCTGCGTTGGCGGCGTACTCTCTTGCTGAGGTGGCAAGGATCCTACGGCAATCGCAGCGATTTCGGCGGAGTTCCGGAGTTCCTTGACGTGGCCCACAGCGGCACCTTTGTGAGGTTTTGCGTTCGTTATCAAAATATTGTCAGAAGTGCCACAGTACGTCCATTCTGAAGCTCAGTTACCCCCCTGGCGACGAGTATTCCTCTTCCCAAGAGCAACTGAAAATCGCCTCCCAGAAAAACTTCGACGCAAATAGCTGCATCGGTCACGACGGGTACAGCAAAACTTGATCGCGGCGGTATTTTCCCGTAGCCAGCGGTGACTCGCACGGTGACTCGCACGGTGACTAACGTTGTTTGGAGTTTTCTCTGGAGGCGGAACAGGTTTCAGCAGCGGCAATCTGTTCTTTCCAAGGTCGATGAGGACGCTGTATTGCCACAGAAACTCCATGCCGATAATGACGTGTTTGGCGCAGTCTTGTAGAAAGACGAATTTCAATAGGGCAGATCTCACCGTAAATCTCGATTCGGACAGTGCACCTTCCGACGGGCGTAATAAGGTATCCTCCGCGGTTCGAATTATTTTTACACCCAGGGCTTCGTAATTTTGCGCAGGTAGTGAGGGAGCCTCCCACTCAAGAGTCAGTGGTCTGCTCCGGTGTCCGCTGTCGATAACAACTTTAAGTTTGGTGCGGACCGTTTCAGGAGCGTCGTTGCAATGCGTGGCGTCGGGAAAGTGGGATCGCTCCAGCCTACTTGGGGTCTCTTTACTTTGGTCGTCTTCGGCAACTTCATCTCCAGGCGTTGCCGCACTTTGTTTTCCCGGCGACGCAGGGGGGTCGGGGGGCGGACAAGCTTCTTGGGCGGGACCGACGAAGTGGCGATGCCAGACGTCGAGAGAATGATGAATGGGATCGTCCGGGAAGGACCCTGCATTGAGTACGGTGGACGGCGCAAGTGCTCCTCGATGTCCCCTGGTCGTTCTTCCAGGCGGGGCCGAGGGTCGTTCGCCGCAAACCCTCTTAGCCTCATCTGTCGGAAGCTGCACCGCCGGTACACCTGGCCGGCATTCCCGCAGTGGTAGCATATATTGTGTCGGTCGGCGGTTGGCCACAAGTCGGTCTTCCGGGGTTCATGGGGCTCCTGGCAGGGGTACTGGTCCTGGTCGTCGTAGCTTCGGTCGTACGGTGGCGCAGGAGACTGATGTGGGGTCGGCGGGACATAGGCACGGGGCGGGGGGGGGGGGGGGGGGGGGCGGTGGCTTTTGGTTTATTGCGGCGTAAGTTAGCGTGGGTTCTTGGGCGGTGCGCGCTGATGGGAACCTGTGGTTGGATGGCTCTTTTAACTTCTTCTGCACGACCTCGGCGATGGAGAGCGAAGCTGCTGGTCGGTCAGCGGCTGCTTACAGCTTTCGGAATTCTTCCCGAACGATTTCACAGATGATCTGCGGAAGGTTGTCCACACCGACGATGTCCAGGTCAAGTCGCGATTGTGCGACAGTTGACGTAACAAAGGTGCCGACGAGTCGGAGGTAGTTTCTTGCCCGGGCCGACAGTGCACGCTAAATGTTTGTCGCTTCTGCTACAAAGTCGTCAACAGTTTTCGGGGTGTGTCGGACAATACCGCCGAAGATTTCACTCTTAACGCCACTCATTATGGCGCGCAGCTTCTGCTCCTCGGTGGCCTAAGGTTCAGCGTGGGAACTCAGGCGCGGGACATCAACCACGATGCTGGTAATGCTTTCGTTTGGTGCTTGAATTCCTGTCCAGAGAAAGTCTTCGGCCCGTTGTCTACGCTGCTGATTCGTGAATTTCTCCTTCATTCCGGCGATACAGGTGCCCCCGACGTAATTGAAGCCTCGTGGGTCTCAGACCACTGCCCGCAGTGCCCTTCAAAGTGAAGTAGAGATTTTGGAGACGCTGCTTTGCGGTCCATTCATTATGGATGGCTAAGTGTTCATAGTGTTGAATGAAGCCAGTCCTCCACATCCTCGTGGGCCTCGTCGTGGAAGGTCGTCGGGGCTTCTCGGGCGACGGGCGGGTGGACGACAGGTGTAGCGGTCTCGGTCTGCGTCGACTGGCTGTTCATCGTCCGTGTTGTTGACAGCTTGAACTAGGCAGGGAGCGTAAAACATTCGGCGCGTAGAACATTTAAATATCGGTGAGACCACAAGGTTCTCGAAATAACGAGAACGCTAAATTGAAAAAAATAAATAAAATACGCGTCCACTTACAGGAATCAAACCTGGGACCTCCGTGCGAAGGCCAAGCCTGGTAATTCTTTTTCCACGCACGCACTCGCCCGGCGACGCTGGGGGCGATATCATATCGGTGAATATCAATAAAACTAATGGGCTTTCGGAATTCCAATAAAAATGTGATACTAGTACCAAGCAAATATCTTCACTTCCACGAACGTGAACAAATTTGTAGTCGTAGATCATTGTTATAAGAACTGACCGTGAAATATTTAGAAGTTTCCTTCATCACCATGTCACGTGGAATAAACAGTAACAATGCATTACAAAAAAAAAAGAAAAACTGCGAGTAGTATCACCGTATCTTTAATAATTAAGATATAGATGTGGTGTGAATTCAAAACAGACTATTTTCGTGTCATTAGAAGACTCAATTTTGTGGTATATAATAACTCTATATGGGAATAGACTATTTTGGTGTCATTAGAAGAGTCCATTTTGTGGTATATATATAATTACTCTATATGGGAATTGTTCAGGGGATCGGTAGAATTACAAAACACTTTGAAATAACGTTTGTTGTGGCTCACTTTACGACGGCTAATAACTTGAAAAAAAGAAATATGATTGCTCTGGACGGTCTGGACATACTTTTATTCAAGTGATTTTTTTAAGTAAGTTGCACTAACATTTACTATCGACATAATTTTCATGTCCATGTACAAGAGGAAAAAAAAGACATTTCCGGCATACAGAACGGTTTATGATTTCTCAAATATTTACTAATTACGGTCTGAAAGAAACACGGCACTACACACCCTCCTTGTTTAACACTTCACCAGAGTATTTAATTTATTATCTATTAGATAGATAAAAAAACAACGTACGCGAATAGATTTATGTGTTAGCACAACAATCATTGTTATTTCATAATATTCATTATGTTATATTAATAATATAAATATCTTTCTGTAAACAGTATTGTATAGATGCACGGCTACTCGTTGTCTGCCTGGTCCCAGATAAAATCATTTTTGATTTCGTGTGCCGATACTTTTCTATATGTATGCTATGTACAGTAACGTTATTGTTATAAGTATTAAAATGCTAACTATTGTTCTTATCAAATACGTCTGATAACACTGACATCTCTCTCGACACACCGCTGTTCGTGTGAATGCTAGAGTCGGAAAGGAAGTCCCGCTGGTTCAGCCGATCACTGTTGTCACGCGCTTCCCTCCCCGAAAGCATCACCCGTGTGAATACCCGTTAAGCCACATCTGCTCGAAGTGTAGAATGTTCAACTACTGCAATAGCAACTACGTACATAATACCACTGATATTAACATTTATCCAAACCTCTTAATTTGATGCGTAGTTGTAAAACTGTCATTGCATTTTCTTTCACTAGAAACATATTTGCATTTATTTATTCTGGCACTCGTTGGGTCACCTTCGCTGTTCGTTAGGTTCCTTCGATATCTGCTTGTCTGACGTCAATTTTGCTTGCAGAAAAAGAGAGAACGTCAAATTAATATTCTTGACAATATTCATTAAAACAGTGGGCAGGTCAATAAGTCTACGTTGTTTTCGAAATATTTTGTACCTTAAATTTTATTTTATAAAAATTTCAATTAGCTATTAGAAAAAAAGTGGACATATTTTCTTTTTCTTTTTTTCAGAAGAGCTCCGTGCACGCGCAGGCTATCCTCACGCAGCGGGAAAAGCTAGGAGTAGGTTTTACGCCAGAAAGGAGAGTTGCGGACTGAATTTCCCCCTGCCTCCTTCGTAACTCGCAGAGGTGACGGAGAGGTAGCACAACTGCCTTTCCAGACGCTAATCACACTTCGAGATTTTACCGCATGGTGTCGTCCTTAGGTGAAAGATGTCTTGGTTGCCTCGGTGCCAGCGCCGTTTCCAGGCTGGAGACACGCAGTGACCATAGCTAAGGGGCCAATTCGACCCAATGGGGCCACATGTCCTGGTGCTTTCAATGCCTGGACCTAAATTGCGTGTGTAAGAGCTGCATTTGACAAAATTTGTTGAACATTGACCCTAGATGCTGCCGTCACGAGCAGCCAAAAGATACACCCAATATGATGGGCGTCTTCACCCTGGACAAAGATGTCCATTATTGCTGTCAATGTCACAGTAAAAGGTAGCGTCTCTGCAGGTGAACGGGCAGGGCTGGTGCCAGATCCTCGTCTTCCTGTCGTCAGCCTTCAGCTGCTGCTCGGTCTGGCTGACGGTGGGCTTCACGGCAGAACGCTTCGTGGCCGTCCGATACCCGATGTGGAGGTTTCAGTTGGGCGTCACCAAGTTCCGCCCCAAGACCGCCATCATAGCGACCGCCGTGTGCAGCTTCGCCTTCAACGCCCACCTCCTAGTCTTCGTCGGTGTGCGGCAGGTGCAAGGAGGCTTCCAAGAATGCGGACTCAATCCGGAGTACGAGGAGTAAGTTGGAAACAGCTCGATCACTTTACCACGTAAAATTCTACCGCTCCGCAAAAATCCAACGGCCTTGGCGCGGGCACGTTTTCCGTCGCTGGAACGACTAAATGCGCCAGAGCCACGGAGATTTTTCCTTTGAATTGGAAGGAGTGGATTGCACATTTGTTTGGTCGTGTGGAGGGACCAAGAGACCGGGACATTGCCGCCTGCTCCGATTGGCTAGCGGCGCGGAGCTGACCAATCGCAGCAGGCAACTGAGCCCGATCGAAAAGACCCTCAGACATTTTCGATGACCCATCAAACTTTCTTGGTGGCCCATAAGAACTTTTTGATGAATCATCGAACGTTCTTGGAGGCTCATAAAACCTTCTTGATGATCCCACATACCTTATCTGACGTCCCAAACCAAAACTCAAACCGGAAAAAAAAAAAAAAGAAAAAAAACATTTCCGTTACGGTTACGTTTACCGCTTCCTGTTGTTAACGGTTTCGTTTCGGTTTTTTACGGTTTCGGTTACCGGTTACACGTTCCTAAAAACTGGTTTATTTTGGTTTTTCTAATAATTCGTTTATTTGAAATACTGGACAGCCGTTCTATAATAGACGGTTAAAGTAGTCCCAGATATCCAACAACGTGAAATTCAAGGAACTTAGAAACGTCTTAATACTCCTAATTGGTCAAAAGCTCCAACACTTGTTCACTACATCTCCTAACATTATATAGTTTGATACCCGAGCATACATGTTACTTCCGCTACTCGGAAATCATTGCATTCTATATAATAAGAATTAAAATAAACACTCCTCCTCTGTTGTTCGGCAGCGTTTATAAACAACCCTTAGAATGTTCCCACAGAATGCTGAAAGGACCACTCGCACCGTATCGTCACTATAGTTTATTTCAACCTAGTACATGCAGACGAGTCTTCGTACAGACTGAAAGAAGGAACAGAAGTATAGCCATTCTCTTGTAGAATACTGCTAAGTGGAACAGAGAAATAAAATTGAGAGCTGGGCTAGTTGGTGAAAGTCAAACATCTTATAAATGCAGTAGCCAAAAACAAGGAAGACTAAGCAGAGGAACGCACAACCTAGTAACAGCACAGAAAGCTGTAAAAATATGTCATGTGTTGTTCGTTTCTTTCCCTAGTCTTCGTTGTTGTGCCATGTTCCAAGGACATTTTCGGCACTCCAACAAGCCGGAAAGAAAACGCGAACAAGAAACTCGAGACTTGAGGACAAGGAGAAGAGACGTACAGCTGCAACGGAAAAAGAGTAGCACAAGTGACCGATGACCGGAGCGGCAAAATCACGACACGCGGCGCTCTTGTTCCCAAGCGTGCCGATAGCGAGAGTGCCAGTCACGTTGCATGTCTCAACGCGGGGGTGGCCGGCAGAAATTTGAGAGATAATATAGCTGTTAAAATGAGGGCTTTAGGATGGGCTGTTTTTTGCCGGCCACCCCCCCCCCCCCCCCCCCCCCCCCCCCGTTGAGACATGGAACGTGACTGGCACTCTCGCTATCGGCGCGCTCGGGAACAATAGCGCCGCGTGTCGCGATTTTGCCGCTCCTGTCGTCGGTCACTTGTGCTACTCTTCTTCCGTTGCAGCTGTACACCTCCTACGTTGAAGACGTCCCACGTCCTTGCGCTCCGCCGTCGCGTCAACTCCGAAATGCAAAAGAGTGAGCGCGTACGTAACCTCCTGAAGGGAATCGCGGAGCCGGCCTTCAATTTTTTTCTGGTCCGAAAGCCCTAATCGATAGCTGACATCACACCTGTTTGCCAACACCTCGATGAAATGCGGACCAGCGGTCGCGACAGCGAATACATTCGTCTCTGCACTCTCGTAGAATCCGTTGTCTTGCTGCGTCAGTGGCAATCCTCTCCCTCGGCACCGCGCGAAATGCCTCGAGGTCTGCTCACTATTTTTTTTTCAATGAGCCAATAAGATCTCGTGCCATTCTGACATCGCCGCCATAACTGTGCAAGAAGTGGACGAAATTGACTCCACAGTCATCGGCAGCCTAATGAATGCCGCAGTGGTTTATTGCGTTTGCGTGTTTTGCGTCGGGATTCTTCTATCAGCCTTCAAATAGGCTAATGCCATAGAATAATTTAATGCGCAGCTTTAAATGGACGATCCAAACTCACCAGGCCCTTCATGTTCCAAGCTGTCAGCGACAACTCCGTATGAGCGGTAAAATGTATAATGGCCGTAAGATAAAGAAGTGGACACTCTTTCCCAACTATATGGCTGCCGCCACGTTGTGCATAAGTATTACATTAGATTTTATACTTCGTGCGCTTCCTAACGTATAACACAACGCCAAAACGCCTTGGCGACAGTGATGATCAACTATTAAACGGGTGCCCTTGGCCGAATAAATATGCACGTTTCGAGCTCAGCGTATTCCGAAGAATATTCCGCAGTATACTTTATATGCAAACAAACATGAAAAGTGTAACGTGGTCTCAGTCGACGTTGATAAAAGCAAACCTTTACCTGTCCATAATCGCATGCCAGGAATGATAAAAATGATCCATCAGCAATTAAATAGTCCCACGCAGCACCGAGACTTAAAACGTTTCTGTAAAGGGCCAGTCTTTAACGTTGGAGCGCCAAAACCTGATGAAACTTATTTCCTCTTGTGTGATATGCATCATTACCAAGTAAATAAATCAGTCGAAAAGGGTCTTGTTAATTTGTACCTCTGGTTATGAGCAGTGTCTTGTGAGGTCTTTTATTTTACTTATCTCCTCTTTTTAGGGGTTTGTTCATTGCAATACCGACAAAATGCCACTGTTGCTTTTGTACTTCGCTGTGTCAATCTATCGGAAATATGTTGAGGGAGCTGAATTCATTCATAAGTCTAGAAGCCATGCTAATACAAAGGTGTGGTATATATTTCATTTGCCCCTAAGTTGGTACTGTGGTGGGATGCTATGCGCTCTCCGGATCAATCAACCCGCTCTTTTTCGTGGCCTGACGCCACTCTATGCGCCAGGGCACGGTCGAGAGCTCGAGGAGGTGACGAAAAATAGAGGCATGACCGGTCCATCGAGCACGCATAACTTCTAGCGGAGTGTCAGCATAGGGAAGAACTGAGTGTAGCATACGCTAGGAATTGCGGCACTTGCGGGCGGGTGCTGAACGTATGCTTCAAAGTGGCGTCGCGAGCTCCCACTGTAGTCATGTACAAGTTAAGAATGCGCCAAAAGCTGCACTCTTACCCTCGTTACCTTCAGGCAATGTTCCTCCGCAATGTGCATGTAGCCCGCTGCCGAGGCGCAAATCGCGGTGACATCTGTCGGGGTTGCCACGTACCACTCATCCGCTAAAAAAAAAAAAAAAAAAAAAAAAAAACAAGTTAAACGCGAAAAAAAATCTCTATCCGAACAGGCGCAGCAATGTCAAATAAAATTATGATCATTATTCAAACTAAAATCGTGTAACGGACCCAGCCATCGCCATTCCCCGCGCCGTTGGCCGCTCCGGCGTTTTTATCCTGGACAAGCCCACCCGTCCCATAACTGCCATCTCTGGTTGATCCACTGAGAAATTCATTACCGCAGCAAATATATGCTGGTGTTTAAGTAGGGGCATTCTTAAAGTGACCGTGAACTTATTTTTTACCTTCCTTTTCTTAGCATTCATCTAAGTTTCCGGGATAACAGGGCCAGTTTTTCCGCCAGTCGTCGTTCGTTTTTTTTATCTTAGGAGTAGTGAGTGGCACAGGTAGAGCGGGGAATGTGTTCGGCGCTAGACGATCGTGGTGGCGGACTCTCCTCTCATCGCTCACGAGCCGATCGAGTCTGCTGTTCGCTTGACATTAAATGGGTCATGAAGCGATATCCGCCTGGAATTTCCATGACTTTGTAGGGGCGTACTGGTCCTAGTCTAGCCCAAGTGTACACAAAAACCGCCATTAATTCTGAGGCTTCTTTGTCGCGATGAAATTGAGAGAATGAAAAGGGAACTCTTTCTCTCAGTCTTGACTTCACAAAGTTTGATGACATTATTGTGGGATCGAAACCACGCGCCTGACGAGAGTCAAGCGTGGCTCATGGATTAGACAAGACAACTGCGTGAGCACTTGACTTCTGCTCCTAACAATCAGTGTCGCGGCGGACACTTGGGTAGTGGCTCGTGTCCAACCACTGCGGTGATAAGAATAGCCGCAATCTAACAAGGCCTGAAACTGAGCGAATGTTTTCTATTTTGCAACCCCAGCGCGTGGGTGTGATTAACGTTGACGGCATAGGATAGACACAAGGCCACCTAGCCGCTTGTATAGCTCCGAGTTGAGGGGATGAAGAATAATAATATTTCTCAATTTTTCGTAGCGACGGCCATTGCCTGAACAGAAAACAAAAACAAAAAAATACAACGATGGCAAGTTGTTTTAGTTATGAACCTTAGGTTAGGGAGTTATTCTAAGTAGTATTTAGCGTAAGTAGAAAAATCGTTCCATTGCTCCTTTGAGCACAAATAAACGCGGTATGGATTACACATGAATTATCTGGTACGTACATTTTATTTTTCTAGTAGGTCCTCTTGGTTCCTTCTGGTGGCAGAAATGTCACGTGTCAAACTGCGCTGTGTTGTGAGAAAATGTGCGTTGCGGTGGCCGAGTATGTTAACGCACCGAAACCGGAGCACGTGTAGCGCAAGCTCGCGTGCTCTGGCGAACCCAGAATCCCTGGGCTCGCTCCCCACCCGTTCTCGTTTCGATCTGATTGAAACTCCTACCGGCGTGCGGTTGTGTATCACTACTGCCGACTGCGTGGTGCACGTTAAAGACCCCAGTCTAGCACCGAACCAGCACAGGCTAACCTCCACATCTATGAGGGTAACAATGTCGCCGTACTCCGGCCATGGCCTCCGAGATTGTTGATACGTAAATAGAACGAGTTCAGGGCCACAGCAACATTACGAAGGTAAACTTTGTGCGCTCGGCAAAAAACGACATACAAAATAATATGGTATGCCAAAGCTAGGGCACGA